TAGATAAGATTTTAAATTAGTATTTTATTAATGGTTGATAATTAGAAAATAAAACAAGGAAAAATATATTTTTTGAATTTTATATCTTAGATTTAAGATAAATAAATATATTAAGTTAATTAATAATTTATTTAAAATGTTAAAATTTAATTTATAAGTATGTAATAAATAAATATTTATAATTTTATAAATCATATTATCATTATAAATTATAAAAATAATATTTTAAAATATATAAATTATTATTTAAACTTTAAAAATATTTTTTCTTAATAATTCTTGAACTATATTTTAATTTATTTTGTACAATCGTTATCGAATATATTTAACAGAAAATATTTTTTTGACATTGTAGCACCCGTGTTTTAAGGTGTTTAAGCTTTGTGTGAGTTAGGATGGGTCATCTTAGGAAGGATACTTAAGGATTTCTAAAAACAATACCTCATAAGTTCATGTTTCTAGAATTCATAGAAAGAAGCCAATGGGAGTATCTCTAAGAACCTCAAACCTTTTCTTCCTCATTCTAAGAGATATTTCCTTCTTTCTTTTCTTGTAGCCGATCCTTCTTGCTCAACTTGTGATTTGGAGCCTCCAAGGCTAAGGATTCCAAGTCGTTTAGAGTTGGTTTCTCCTCACCTCTTCTTGATTCGCTTCATTAGAACGGGCCGTTCTGCAAACAGAACGGCCTGTACTGCTTGCAGAACGGGTACGGGCCGTTCTGCAAGCAGTACAGGTCGTTCTGCAAGCAGAACGGGCCGTTCCAGATGAATAAATAGCAGAAAATAAAACAAAAATTTGCGTAGAGAAGAAACTAACCTCAAACGTGTAATGTGCAGACACTTAGAGAGTTACAAACGTCCAATGTAGAAACAAACGCACTGAGAGACTTAGAGATTGAGAGAGATTATTAGTTTCCGTAAACAGGGAGCGCGGGAATGAAAAATGGAGTGAGCGTTTGATTTTAGGGGCATATTTACGTCAGGTGAGTGTTGGTGCGACGTAAATTTACGTCGAACTAGGGGGTCCGACGTAAATTTAGGACCGACATAAATTACGTCGAACAGTGAGAGCTCCGACGTTAATGGGATAATTTACGTCGGACCCCCTTTTATCCGACGTAAATTAGTTCTCATTATTTACCATTCTGCCACCGCGTTTTTATAACGTCGGTGGTACCTTGTTCCGACGTCATTTAGGTGACGTAAAAGCCTCTTTTTACACTAGTGAAGAATAGCCAAATTCTTTCTACTCATATTATACCAATTATACATGTTTATGTACATCAAATATTTTTAGTTATAATTGCAACCTATGATTGTCCATGTGAGAATTTTCACCATGTTTATTCATTCGATATCATTCTTATATGTGGCCTTATATATATATATATATATAAG